ACTTTTGGTACTTTTCATGAAAAACCTAATTCCCACACCTTATTCAAGTAAAAAAGGTACGCCTCCTCAACAACGATGCGGGGGTTATCGTTTTCGAGATATTTACAATTTTCTANAATAAGCAGTTCGATAATGCTCGGTTTAGAAGAAGTTTGTACGGGTATACTGCGTATAAAGTTTGATGAAAATAACTAAAATTGCAAAAAACTTATGACAAAAACCAACCATGTTTTGAAAAATTTCCACAATCTGTATTTCGAAAACGAATCATTCTTCGTTGAACATTTTATAGGAAAAAGTTATTTATTTTGACGATCAACTTCACTTAGCGCCCTAGGAGCTAAGTAGTATGCATCGATATAGAAAATTGTAAATATCTCGAAAACGATCACCTCCAGCGTTGTTGAGAAGAAGTACCTTTTTTACTTTGGAAAGGTGTGAGAATCAGGTTTTTTCATGAAAAGTACCAGAAGTTCACTGTCAAAAAAGTAAGGGCAATTTGAAATAAATAATGACAGCGTACGCAGCGCCCTCTAGATGATACATGAAAATGAATACGAAATTATGATTTCCCACATCAACAAAACCCTGGGTACCGAATTTCGTGCGAATAACTATTTTTTGCAAGAGTTATTTTCAAAAAGCGAACAAAAAAATTCAATTTCATCACCACGTATCTCCGAAACGAAGCATTTTCGGACACAAGTTCATATAGACTTTTTTTCTTGAAATTCTCTCAGGAATACGTCACTTGTATATTTGAACGTACTTATGTTACACCCTGTATAGTATACTATAAGGTATTGGTCCACCATCGTTATTCATAATATTATTATGTTTACTTATTTCTATACCCTCATAGGCACCTAGATGCCTGTTGTTGTTAGCTTGTCTAACTGATCTTAATGAACTAAAATCTATGGAATGGTTTTGTTATAAAATATTATGGGCGACTGCTGATTTTTCTGGTCTTCCGTATTTCAGGTGTGCTAAGTGTTCCTCATATCTTATTTCGTTAGATCTTTGTCTGTCCACAATATTTTGCATCGCAGTCCTTAAATTTAATTTCGTGAATTCCTGACTTTTCTGAATTCTCGACTTTGTTTTTTGGATTCCCTAAAAGGCTATGTAGTGCATGACTTGTTTTAAAAACCACCTTCATACATAGTTCCTTGAACATTTTTTCAAAGTTCATTTTGTATTGTTGGTATGGAACTGAGATATATTCATATTGGTTTTCGTCGTTTTTAAAAGTCAAGAGTTCGTTCATTCTTAACCTACACTTTTTCTTTCTTGTTATATCATCTACAATACCCCTCGAGAAACCGTTACTGACTGCTAGTTCCTGTATTGTACGTTTTTTTTGTGAACCTCTCGTGTGTGAGAGGAGAAGTCAAAAGACGATGCACTAGAAAATTCAGCCCAGCACGTTTGTGCTGTCTACAGTGATGTGAACTGTCAGGAATATACCTGTACGTGCTTGTTTCCTTTCTAAATACATCGTATTCTACCCCTCCATATTGGCCCCTTATTACCAAAACTTCAAGTAATGGAAGTTGTCCGTCCTGATGCGTGAATTTTATTGATGTAAATCTGTTATTTAAGAAGGAAATAAAGTCCTCAATACTCGATTTTTCGTTATGTAATATCGCGAAAAAATCATCCACATACCTTAGCCATATCCTAGAAAAATACTTTGACTTTTTTTGGTTTGTTTGTATTTGTTATATCACACACATTGAAAAAAAATTGTTAGATATTTCAACAAGATCATAAGGATCCTCAGAGGATGACTCCTAAAATGATTAAAAATAAGTAGATTGTTCTTATGATGCACTGTTCGGAACCTTTGGTATTACTGGAGTTTTTCCCAACACCAAATCGTTATTTTTAACACCTCGACACGTGTTTCAAAGAGGAAGATTAAAACCGGGAAAAAACTCCAGTAATATTAAGTAGATTGTTATTTTTATTTTGTAATTCTATACAGATTGTATTCAACAACAAAAATCTGTCATAATGTGCAAAGTGAAAACGAAGTATGTATTCCCAAAAAGTACGAGACCATTTCGAAACTAGCTTAAGATGAATAATCAAGAGAGCCTTATTTTATCCTGAGAGAAATTTACTGTTTCCGAAGTGAAAACGCATCCACCTCTGTTGTCAACTGTTATATTAAATTGAGTTTTTCATTCAAGTTGCGTAGGATCAAAGCGAAAAGTTGATGGAAATTACCGGAAAATAATTACAAGCAATTAATATTCCGGACCTGAAGCCTTCATCACGAAAAAATATAATTAATTTCGAACAAATCACAGCTAATGGGAGTTAACTCTGGTTATTCTATTTCCCTAGGACTCAGTGGAATTATTTTTTCTATGTGAATTATGAAATGATTCAAATTATTGAATAATTAACGCGTGATTGGTTCCGATTCGAAAAGATTATTGTGTTGGCATTCAGCCTTTTGTAAACCGAAATTATTTGTTGAACCTACAGGTTTTGAAATTTGATTATATGCACAAGAATAACGAACACATTATTGCAGAAGTATAGCTTCTAGCTCACATTTCATAAAGAATGGTGTTATTAAAACCACCACCTGTGTTTTTCATTTCATTTCAATGTAATTCACAGTGCGAACTAAGTCAAGTGAAGTGATATTGGTTTTCCTAATATGTTATATTTATTTTGTTTCCTCTTGAGCATGGAAACAATGAAAATATTCAGTAGATGCTAAAAAAAGTCATATATGAAATATTATCCATGATAATGAGTAAACATCTTCACATCACAAACATGTTTTATTTCTAGACGCGTTTCGCTAACGCCATAGCTTCCTCGGTCGAAATGAATATTACACAAGTAGTAGGTATACATACACAACAATAGTAGGTACCTAACTTTATTGGTTGATAGTGAATGAGATATCAGGTATAATTTGTGAATCAATTACAATCTCAGTTCTTGGACAGCAGGAAAATTTTTCAATATGAATAAAGTCATTGACATTTTTCAAACAATGGTGAGTGGTTAACCTTCTATTAATCATTCAACAGAAAACCAGAAAGTTTACCCTTGTTGATTTCCAAAGTCTCTACATGGAGTACGTCGTACATAGTGTTGAAATCATGATTGTTTACCAAAAGGTGGGACGCATTATGTTCCGAGATTCAAGTTTTAACATTCTTGAAGTATGTCCTACATACACTTCAGGGCATGATCTCTTTCAAAACACTCACGGGAAAAACATCAGATAAAGTGAAAAGACTACTGAATAAACAAAATATCAACATATATAATATAAGACTGGTAACTCCGTGGGTAGACATATAAAGAACAACAAGTCACACATAGACAAGGATAACAGATCAGTTGTCTACATACCAACATGCGAATCATACCCTAAAGTGTATTTAGGAAGGCTATCAAGGGACGCATGGCAGATGCGAAACATCACTATTAATATTTTGTGACCCCTATCATGATTGCTCGGTACTGAAATATTTATCTCTTCTATCCTTCCATTTTCCGATCATTATACCATCTGAATACTGGGCTTTTGATTCCCCAACTTTTAGTTTACTTTTCAAAATTTCAACAGGACTACCTTTCCTATCACTGCGTAGAGTTCCAGTACAGATTGTTTTAAGGTTTATCAAGGTTCTAGCTAATTGGCAGCTATTCTAATAATTATCCATATAAATAGAATGTCCTTTGTTGAGGTAATCTTTTGCTATGTGCTGAACAACTTTTTGTGCATGGCCTTTACCGCCCATCTCATCCAATTGGCCGGTGTAAACTGCAAAATTCAGTATAAGCTCAGTTGGCTGTCAACATATTCATTTTCAGTCCATATTTATGTTGCTTATTTGCGATTTACTGCCACAAAACCATAGATTCGTCCAGAGTAAGGTTTCTTCCGAGATAATATACTTCTGTCACTTTTTCATTGAAATAATTAATAACTGGTCTAATTTTATACAGAAGATCGTTTGATTCGGGTTGATTTGGTTCCGGATTCGTAGAAAAATGCAAACTCCTGAGTATCACCAAAAATCTATCCCGGCTAATGTGATCCGAAAAACAATTGAAATTGAATAGCCGACTGGTCCTCCAATAGTCTTGGTGTTTGTTCAGTTTCACATTGCCCATATGATACACCAAACCAATAAACTTCAGGAGCTCTTCTTCTTTTAGATCTTTCCAATCAGTTATCTTTGACCTTTCATTACCACCCCTTGACAAAAACAAGTTTTCTGCATACTTATTCGTTTCTGTTATGATATTTTCAAGAAACCCATTATCAACAAAAAGTCTAAAATAATCGTAGGGTTTCGCCTCTGTCGTGAAATTCACAAGCATTCGATTGTTTTCAGTAAAAAGAAAATGTTTCATACTGGAACAAATATCTCGCCAACATTCTTTGTCAGTATTGAATGTTACCTGGTGTTCTTGGTCGATTGTTTCTTCTGCCGTATTATCTATGACAAACAGAAAACATCTTTACACAGTAAACAAAACAACAAAAACAAACGAAATAAATTACCATAATTTTTCCCTTCACTTTCTGACTCAAGGTCATCATCAGAACTTAGCTCAAAAGTTTCATCTTCGTCATCTGAACAATCCACTAACTGTAACATTTCATCAACTGTTAGTTTATTTGGATCTCTTATTGTGACTTCACGTCTTTTAACACCTGAAGGACCTGCCAGATTATTGTCTACTTCACTCATATTTAAATAAGCCGTAGAAAGTTTCCAAATTCTCGAAATTATGAACCACCCCGAAATCTTCTTGAACAATACTATTCAAATGTGCGAACTGAAATACAACCACCTCTGTTTAGTGCGGACTGAATACTAACACATTTAATGAGAGAAACAGATGCGTCACTCGCACAAAGTAGAATGACCAGATGCCGCCAATTGGCGCCATTCGCAGTGAATGTGTTAAAATCAAGCTATGCATTTTAGTGTTGACAAAAATACTTGTAAACTACACTGTTTTCGGTTTTAATGGCTTCTTTTATTTTGATACATTTGTAATATTTTTTATTAATTATGTCACTACTTACAGTAGCTTTAATACAGTCAGTGATTTTTTACCTCTCCTTCTGATGACAATGGCAGTAATAAAAAACTTATTGCATATAGAGTTGAATATTCAATATAAAATCAATTCTGTCATTAATACAAAGACAAATGCTGATTTTTATACAAAAAATTAGAGCAAATGTCAATTCTGGGGCTAGATCCAGCTAAACTAAGTACACTAAAAGGTTCCTCATGATGTATAGCACTGTAAACTGTTACTGCAGAAACAGGAATCTCACTTACAATATCCCCAACAAATGTCATCTGATAAAACACTTTGGATCGCCCACCTGCTAATATTTTTTCTTTATGGATTTCAGCCACATGGATGCCCCTGTCATCTATGGGAAATACTGTTGAATTCGTAAGAAATCTGTAGTGCCATAAAGATAAACGAGGACCTCCACCACAAAGCTGAAATAAAAGTGATAAACATAAATTCAAGTGAATTGAAAAGGAGAGATTATTTTTTGGGAAAAAAAGCTTTTTGGCTTTCTACTTCTTTATTTTTGTACAAAAAAATGTGGGAAAGATAAGATAGCGTAATAACAAAAAAAAAAACGATAATTCCTCCCAGTAAAGAACAAAGAACAACATTTTGGATGTCATCTAGCATAAGCCAGTGACACAAATATTCATCATTATGGATAAAAACAATAAGCATTGGAACACATACCTAAAACATTAAAGGTAACAATAACAACAAGTTACAACAACAACAAGTAACAATAACAAAAGTCGCTTGTACCAACTTGAAAAGGTCCATAAAGAAGGACTTCAACTAGCAATAGGAGCATTCCGTACTAGCCCAAATCAAGCAATTTTCTGTGAGTCTGGCATCAGTTCATTAACCCATAGAAGAAGAAAACTTTTATTAAATTATGGAGTTAAAATATGGTCCCAACCAAGTCATCCTAATCTTTCGATCATTTACAATGAAGCACCAGCAAACAAATCAGTAGGAAAACGAGTAGCAGATGGTTTAGATTCTTTGGATATTGAGTTACCACCAATTTTTTCTTCCACCTTCGGAGAAATACCCCCTTGGATGCTAGCTACGCCAAAATTTCATTTTGAATGTACTAGATTTGTGAAAGAAAATACCAATCGAATTCAATTTTTCCAACTATTCCATGAGATCATGAACATATATGAAAATAGTACCATAATATATACTGATGGGTCAAAAACTACAGAAGGAGTTGGATCAGCATTTTTTGCAATGGAGAAACTCACCAATGGACATTGAACACAATAGCATCGATATTCACAGCTGAATTATACGCCATTCTCCAAGCAATGGGATTTATCAAGACATTGGAAAGAGGAACTTATTTGATTCTATCCGATTCTTGTAGTTCACTCAAAGCCATACAAAATAGTTACAATACCGATCCTTTAATACAGATCATATCAAATGTAATCCACATTCTCCAGAACTCTGGCAAAAAAATAATATTTTTTTGGATTCCTGGACACATAGGAATAGCCGGCAATGAACTTGCTGATACTGCTGCCCGCGATGCTACTGGACAAAATTATTCGAATGACATCCCAATTAGAACTAAAGACATAAAAACCTATATCAAAAATAAAATAAGAGACAAATGGAGTCAAGAATGGAATGAGAGTAACCATAAATTGAAAATAATAAAAAACAAAGTTGACGAGATACTACCTTTTCCATCACAACAAAAAAGAGAACAGATTGCACTTACACGATTGAGAATTGGACATACTTATATTACATCTAGCTTCCTTTTGTGTGGCTCCAGACCCCCAATATGCGACACCTGCGACGTACAACTTACTGTATAACATTTACTTCTAGTGTGTCCGATATATTCCCAAGCTAGAAACAATTGCTCCCTTCCTGATACACTGCAACAATGTCTTAGAAATGAAAAAAATTGCTTGAAAATAATACAATTTCTGAATGAAACAGGTCTAATGAAAAAGGTGTGAATCACATGTGATTCCGGTCTGAAATACACAAGGCTAATGACCTCTGTAGTCGATGCCTCAACTCAAAAAAAAAATAATAACAAAAAAAAATACAAAATACTATCAAAACCACATACACCTATTCATGAACCACTAGCAAATGCTATAAACGAAATAATACACCACCCAGAAAAAACACCCAACTTCCTCACTGACGAGATAACATACAAAAAACCTTAAAACTAACAGACAAGACACAACTAACTATCGACATCATAATATGCCAACCCACACTTTACAAAATTATCACATCCATCATTACCCAAAAAATAGAGTTGCACCTCCACACACAACATCCAAACTGAAGAACAAGAAGGCTGCAGAAAGAAAGGTTACGGATGCAAAGAACAAGTGACCATGAAAACAGGCAGAAAAACAACATTGAAACTCATATATGTGCTATATTGACTACAACAAGGCTCCCGATTCAGTATCACACAGCTGGTTACAAATACTAGAAATATAAAAAATGCCAAACATAAATCACACAGTTTTCAACCAACCCAATGAAAACATGGAGAATACAATCCACCTCACCACAAATGATCCAAATACAGATATCCACACAGAAGAAATAAAAATACAGAGGCGTCTTCCAGGGAGACACACTAAGAGCATTTTGGTTTTGCCTCTGTCTAAATCCCATATCAAAACTAACGAACATCACTTCATATGGTTTTTAAAGAAAAAACAGAAAAAGAAGAAAACACAGTATGAACCACCTCACTTATAAATCTATATGGAGCAACACGAATCCAAATGAAATACCTCATCAAAACAACAGAAAATGCCAGTCAAGTCGCAATGAAGTTCAGGATAGAAAAGTTCAGAATTATCCAAATAGAAAAAGGAAAATGGATAGAAACTGAAAACATACGAACAATAAACCACTAATATATAAACCAAAAATATATATGCAGGAACACGAAACGTACAAATAACAACGAAACACTAAACTGGACCATACAGAAATAAAAACACAACTTATTCAAAAATATATAACACCGGAACTAAACTATTACAAAACTTAATTCTAGTAACATAATCAATAGTAATAAATCTCACAACAGAAAAACAATCTGATTACAAATATTACCCACAGCGAAAACGAAGAAATCAAACTATACTAGGACACAATACTTCACACAGGCAGAACAATAGCACACAACAGACCGAATAACCGAAAATCACATATCTCATAAACATAGCTATTTCAGCAGACGCAAACATTAAACAGAAAGAACAAGAAAAAATATAAAAATACACACCCCTAATTATAGAGATGAAAGATATATGGAGACACCCACAGGAATTACACAACAATTGTTTACTACCAACCTACACAAAATATACATCCACTCATCGATACACACACAAAAACATACAAAAAGTATTTGTAAAATTTGTAAATTTTCAGTACCCCAACATAAAAAAATGACCCTTCCTTCCACTTGGATTTATACCGTACAGGAAGCAAATACCAATGAGGACAATCCCCTGTGAAAAAATAGTAATGTTAATAATAATAAATTGCAGTAAAAAGATTGATGAGGCTAAGAACGAACAGGAAAGCCACAAAAACTGAAGTTTTCAGCTTGTAGGTGGCTTGTGGTATGAGTGTGGGCAATCACTTAATTCCAAATATTAAATTACCCAAAGTTCAAACTATGATTGCTTTTGAAATTATTATTCTCTTAGTATTTATTTCGATATAGTGCTTCAGTTGTTAGGTCTGAATTTTTTTCTTTGTAAGTGTTCAGCCAGGTTTCTTTTTATAGATCATTTCTCAATTTGATATAATAAATGTGGATTATTCTCACAAAGTTTCAGATAAGTCTCGTTTGCCATCTTCTGGTGATATCTGAAGTTTTTCAGCTAGACTGATTAGTTCGAACTCTGTGACTCAATTTATAGGGATGGATGTTCCCATTTACCTGCATTGCTGCCACTACCTGTGTTTCCTTACTACCTGTTTTGGCCCTATCACCTGAGCTGCCTCTCCTGCTTCTGTTATTAAACCTGTATTGTCATGTGCTGAGTTTAGCTTTTGGGGTTGAGCGGTCTGTTTGATTGTATGAAGCGATAAAACGGATCTCCATGTTGTTGGTAATCTTTGCATATTATCCTTCTTGTTCTTATTATCAGGTCGTTTTTCAATTTTGATAGCCTCTCTGATTTTTCGTGAGTAAAAGTTTTCATTGCTTGCTAGAATTTTTGTGTTATCGAAATTAATGTTGTGTCTTGCCTGCAATACATGTTGGAAGAAGACTTTTCCCTTCACTGCAACACTGAATTTCTCAAATTTCTCAAAGATTTTATGATTCCGTTTATATGAGTGTCCCATCTCATATGTCATCAATAGTTACTTCCAGATATTAGAGTTCATTTTTAGCGTGTATTTTGATGCTTTGAGAAAAAGCTTTCATGCCTAGTGTTCGGAAATGGGCAAGGTTGTTCTTATAACTAGAAAAAGGTAGAAAGTTCGTTTTTTCATGGTTAATCCTACTTTAAAATATCTTTCTCACATTACTTATATTGAGACACTTGAAATTTCTTCTTGAAACTGATATTTGAAATGTTCAGTCCAATATTTGACAATGAATTGAATGATTTTTTTCAAAAAGAGACTTACCACATAATCATCATTGAAACTGATTGCTCCTATCCATTTACCAATCTCTGGACGAACTACCTTATCACATAAATTAGGCTCAATTTTATTAGAGATTTTGAAGCTTCGTAAGTCCCATATATTAACAATACCATCCTCTCCAGCAGAAAGTAAATCATTTCCACTGAAAAAGCATATAAATTCCCATAAATCCATTGATCTACAATAAATATCTTCAACTAACCTATTTGTTAGACAGTGGATATAATCAGTATGTTTTGAAAGAGTCTTCTGTAGCTTCCTGGTCTCCAAGTCGAAAATGTAAATATTATTATCTCCACAGCCTACATAAATATGATTTAATTCATTGTTGAGTTGCAAAGCATTCACTTCCGTTCTCTCAAAAGCATCGTTCTGATTAGGAATGTCGATGGTCCAAACTGGATGTGGATTTTTTGAGGTCTTCACAGATTTCCAGGAGTAAGCGAAAATTTCTCCAACACTTCCAACTAACAAATGAGACTGATGGGTAAGTAAACAATTAATTTGAAAGCCTTTCTTGACCACGATTCTGTTCTTCGGAGTGAGGTCATCTTTGGTTGGAACTGATTCAGTTTGAACTATTTTTGAGAGACTAAAATATTGCATTGAATAAAATTTTAACTTAAATTCAAAAGTACTTACTGAAAAACTGCCAACGAGCCGTACTTATCGCCCACAACTAGATAGTTTCCACATGGGCTGAAAGTCTGTGATAGAATTGTATTGTAGAAGTCCTTGTGAACCATAACGTCTTAAATTTATCAAAATATGAAAGAGGTTTTAACAACAGTAACATCAATAACAACAACACCAAACACTGCTAACCTCAAATCTTAGACATTCAACGTTGCCATACCTACTCTCTCTCTCTCTCTCTCTATGATAGTGGTTTTTGCTTCCATTGAGGCGCATTAAGCCACCCACACCTACTCTTTATTCCAAATTAAAACCGAGTCTGTTCGTTTGTAACTTTTATCACCGGCTCACTACAAATTAAGACGAATATGTCACTATCGGGATATTCAATTGTATCGCGGCCAGTCTATTCATTTAATCTTATCAATTTTATTAACTCATAGCACGAGAAATTGAATTCATAGAAAATAATGTTTATATATTCAATAATAAAAAACGTTCACTTGATATTCTAACGTTTTCAATAGCTGAACAATCTCATTACTTCAATTTGCGCAGTCTGAAAAATACATATTTCTATGAAAAAAAATCGTTCTTTGTGTTTTTTGGGCTTCATTTCAGCCACCACCAATGACAAATAGAGTTTACTTACTGCAATCATTCAGACAATCAATTTCACTTTTTCAAGTTTATACCTACTTTGTCGAAATTGTAGTTGACTAGAAATTTCATGTTTCTTATATATTCCACTGTTTTTGGTGACTCAAGCGTTTGTTTCTGTTTGTGCTTCACTTCAGGTTCACATTGCGAGCTTTCAAACTATAATTATTATCTAACAATGCAGTAAGGCTCTTTTAGTTTTTAATCTTTCTTTAGAATTCTTTCAGGCATTTTGTTCAAATCGTGATTTTTTCCCTATAAAAATCCTAAGATTTTCATTTTCCCTGTTATAATTCAACAGTATTTCCCATGGCACAGCTTCATTATGGTTTATCCTTGAAACAGGTAAAACAATTTTTTGAATTGCTCAATTTTTTTTGCAGTCATATCGATAAATACTATCTTTCAAAATTATTTTATTGCTCACTGGGTGATTGAGCCGAGCATGGCCAACCAAAGTTATATTTTTTAAATTGAACATCTAGTCACAAACCAAAAGTAAGTAGTTTATGATCTCTGCAGAGACCACAAACCACTTTAAGTAGTTTGTGGCAGAGACCCCTACAGGTGGGCACAACGAAATACAAAAACGACTGTGACCTTGATCATTTGCGTGAAACGTCTATAAAGTAAGTAGTTTGTGCATCTAGTATATGAATATGCCAATGAACTCCATATTTTTTTAGCTCTCTAGGGAATTATTGTTTTTGAATATCCATTGCGGCATTGCCAAGTTATTCCAGAAAAAAATATTTCGCAGATAATATTTTTTTAATTCACCACCTGTAATTGGGTGTTTTTACATCTGTGGGAAATAAATATCAAACGTTTGTCTATCAGGTTTAGTCCAAGTTTTCAATTTTAAATAGACCTGTTTTTACTATTTTGGATGGATTCCGCTTGTGATGATAAACTGAAACAAGCATACGACATGGACAATGGTTGTTCAACTTGCCGTAAATCATTCAGATAAAAAACCGGCCTCAAAATTCATCATGGAAAAATGTATAAAACGTCAATGTCAAATTCAGACAGGGGGCCAGTTAGGCCCCCCAGACGCACCCTGGCGTTGGATGCGATCGGGCGTCTTTCGCCAGAGAGTGCTCGCGTCGCACACCTGCCCCTTGCCAAATCAATTGGGAATATAGCCCCGGAAGTGGCAGGTCGGGATCCTAAGCTCGGATACTAGTAGCTCCGTCCATCCGGGTTCCGACACCTCAAGCGTCTGCCTTGGTGCCCTCCAAGGCTAGATTCGTATTCTAGTGCCCGTTGGAAGGACCGCCAGCCGTGACACCTCGAACGCTTGTATCCGTACAGAAGCAGGCGAGGATCACGGAACAGCATAAGCCGTCCAGTGCCTCAGTAATGTGGCTGCGATGCACCCATGAATGGATCACCGCATCCCTATCCCGTTACCCGCTAGTGGAGCCGCTGCCCCTAAGAGGCCAACGCCAGTTGGAGATGAGGCTCGCTAGCCTCATCCCCCCTAGAACTCATGTTAGGAAAGTTTCCTCTACAACGTTTGATGAGTAACCGTCGAGGACTCTTTCGAGCATCCTCTACCACACATCATATGTCGAAGATGTCGCGCCCATTACCCGTGTAGGTGCGGGATAGGGCGGTTCATCAACAACTTTTGGGTGTACGCCGTGTGATCTGCACCGCATACCCTTATGTTACCTCGAAGGGCACTCATATTATGAAAGCTACCTTTCCAGCGTTGGATGAGTAACCGCCGAGGGCTCTTGCGAGACCCCTCTCCCACACATCTAGCTTGAAACCAGCCAATACCTATTGCCCGCAGGTGCGGGATTGGGTGGTTGGCCGATAACTTTATTGGGTGAGTGCCGTGTGGTCTGCACCGGGGGCCTGTCAAACACCCGTAAGAGAGAGAAAGTGATTCACCCCGCCACTTACCCCGAGACCATTTCCACTGCTGCCCTCATGTCATATTCAAGAAAGAGTCTTTTGCTCGTTTTTCTCTGTTGATTCTGAAACAAAACAAAAAACAACTGCTTACTGCACAATGAACAATTGATGGGGCTCAATGATGGAACGTATCATTGTGCCCCGTTTCGAGGAACCCTACAGAGGCCATAATGGTCTCCATCACTGTCTATCGTGAACGTGAAGAGGTAGAAATACCAAAGTAGGGCAAAATCATAATGAAATGCCATAAGAGCCAATTTAATGACACAATTACACTTATCTGGAGACGAAAAATGTTTATTTCACCTCAAAAAAACGCTCTAGTGCTCGTGGAGTCTGAACCACTACTGGTGGAAACTGACCGCTGGGGTCACCCTCAGCGCTATCTACCGGAATCTTTTTGCCCTAGACCTTTCGGTACGCACGGTAAACCACCTGTTTTATTGTGCTTCACCCTCCTTTAGAGGTGATTGTCGAAATTGAGGCCTATTTTGAGGCTGAAGACAAATCGTACTACAAAAATGGTATCGAAAAATTGTATGATCGCTATAATCGTTGTATCGCCTTCTCAGGCGATATTGAATAAATAGAATCAAAATTTATAAGAAAAAATTCTGTTAGCTTACGAACATTTTAGTATAATTGTTAAAAGTTCACCATAAATACTGTACTCACTTGTATCATATGCTGAAGCTTATTCGAATTCTAATGTATTGACGTTAATTTTGTTTTAGCAAAATATATGTATTTTCACACTCTCTACTGCAATATAATAATTTGCATTTACCTATCAAGTCATATAATGACGTTAATTCCTCTAAAAAATTTTCACAAAATTTTCAATAATAATTTAACATTACTGCATACGCTTCTTCCGATCCCTTGCCAAACATTTTTTGACCTAAATAAAATGTAATTTTTGGAACAATTCACATTTTGTAGAGTTCAACTTATGTCCAGCTTTGTCCAAACATTTTAAAACTTAGGAATGTTTCAAATGTTCCTCATCTACTCCTATCTGTTACTATAGGTTTGTTCTGGTTCTACGAAATTCAGGTTCTAGGACGTCAGGATCATGCGCAGTTAATATAGAGTGTTCTGGTTTATTGAGGATAATTTCGGATTGATGAATCCTCTGTTCTGGTTTCGACTGCGAAATGATCCTAAACAGTGCTGCCGCAACGTCAATTCAAAAAGTACCGAAATTTACAAGAAAATAGTACCCAAAATGTACTACGTGTAATAATGTTATCCATTTAAATTCGGAAAATATATGGAGTAAAAAATTTGCTGGAAACTAAGAAATATTCCTTAAGAGAAAGATCATAATCAGAACATTTGATAAAAAGGTGTCTTTTTCCTTCTTCAAATTGCTCTTTCACGATTGCAAATGTGTTTTGTTTTAATTAGGTTTCTGTCACAATAGAATAAACAATACTAAAGACGTTTTCAAGTAGCTAGATTCGAGAATTTATTGTAACCTGTCCATATTCCTTTTTATTTTGACAAAACAATAAAACCAATTTCTCAAGGTGAGGTGTGAGGTTAGAAGTTGAAACTGCTAGTCTGCTGACTGACTGACAGATGACAGAACCACAGTTCACAGGCACAATACAGAACACAGGATTAAACAATGCAGAGTTATGATGATAGCTCGCAATTTTGACACAAGTACGGTATTTGCTGATCTGGAACTTGAAACACGGAATTGCATTGTTGCCACACATATTGTTGTTATTTTTTACTGTACTCGATGGGAGTCAACGTGAAAATGTAACAAATTGGGATTATAGTAAATAGTACCGAATAGTCTACATATTGATCCGGGTAGTATCTTCGTATCAAAATCATGGAATAGAACCGAATGCGGTACAATGGTACCTTAACGGCAGCACTGATCCTAAACTGTCGTGAACCGTCCCGAATCGTTCTTGCTCTCGAGACTGAACTGTTGAGAACTGTTCCAGTTCTCATGCGCATTCATGTAAAAATTTGTTTGGGCTAGTTACTAGGATGTTTTTTTATTTACTTGATTTGAATAATTGATGATTGAGGTTAGATAACATTTGAACTGACTACAAGGATACACTACATAACAAAATGGACACGATCAACAGTATTTTCTAATCTTCATCTCTTCATATATACGATAGGTGGCACAGTGGTCTCCTCAAAATGAGTTCTGGTTTAACCAAGTGTCCGGTACTATTTCGGACTGTTTGAGATTTTTTGTTTGTACGCACTATGTCTTGCGCAGTTTCCAAACGTTTTGGGATGTTAGAACCAGAACAAACCTTACATACGATTCATTAATAGTTTCGGCACCGCCTTGCAAAACCCAATACCTTTCTACTTTTTTGTGAAATATGGAACTAGTTAGCTTAGTGCCTCATATATTTCATGTGATATACTCTAGGAAAATGAATTTCTTGTATTCACAATAATAAGTTGCTGTTGTTGCTATGAAGTGGTATCTTCTAGTTTGGTCACTTCTGTAATTTCCTATAAGAATATTATAAAACAACACGAATGAGTTATACATATTACATCATATAACCTTCAAAAATAAAATACACTCTCAAAAAAGCAGAATTTTTATTTTACAACCATCAATCACTGTAGCTTTAATTGCCTGAAAGTT